TGCGAGAGTTGCAGGTTTCGGGCATCGCAAGAGACTTGCTGGGGTTCGGAGAAAATGATCAAGGTGCATATTTTTATTAGGTTTGGATTCTCCTTGTTATTGTTTTTTTTTACAAATTTTCAAAACCAACCTATTTAGCAACTTAATTACAAAAAACGATCTATTTGCAACTTAATTGCCAAAATCTACCCAGTTTCAGGCAGAAACTGAGTCGATTTTGATGAAATAATTTATGAAACTTCACTGGGCTTCAACTCATGTGAAGTTTAAGCGCGTTGTTAAACTTCACGGGACTTAAGGACTTCAAGTCCCGTGAAGTTTCGTAAAAAAAGTTACGAAACAGTCCCATTTCGTAAATTATTTCGTCAAAATCGACCCAGTTTCAGCCAACTGGCTGAAACTGAGTCGATTTTTGCAATTAAATTCGAAATGGGTCGATTTTTGCAATTAAGTTTCTAAATGAATTGGTTTTAAAAATTTATCCTTTTTTTTAAATTTAATAATTTGGTTGGAAAATGCCTTTTATTTATTAATTAATTAGGTGGTTCGCTTTTAAGTTAGGTTACTATAAAGTGAAGAAGGAAGGGTCTGATGAAAGGGTGCTATTGTTTGTATTTGTGGAGAAAGTATTATTATGTGCATGTGGGACTAATAATGAGCTAAGCTTTACAAAAAGATGCTTTGAAGTCTTTCTAAGTCTAGTCTTCATCAGGAGCGTGAGGGCGGTGGTGAATAATAAAGTCTTAAAAGCCCAATCTATCACTTTTGTCTTACTTTGTAGCCTCTTTTCCGCCCACAGAGCGAGCCTAGTTTTGTGGCTTAAATGCTTATGTTATAGTGTTAGGGTTTTTTTATACATTAGTTCCTTAAACCATAGGTATTTTGATATTTGTTATCTAAATCTTCGTATTTTGATATTAGTCTCTCAAATCATCTTAATATGTTGATATTAGTCTTTAAGTTTACTTAATTGTTAAAAACTCTAAACTATGGTTGGGTTTGGACTAACCATGGATATTGCTAATTATCTTATTACCCCTCACACGCGCTCTCGCTCCTCCTCCTCCTCCATCACCTCCATCTCCTCCACCACCATTCCCTCCTTCATCAGTATTCTCACTTCCTCCTCCATCGTTGCTACTATTATCTCTACCTCCGCGTGTATTTTTATTGCCTCCTCCCTCTCCACCATCTCCATCTCCATATCCTCCACCACAATTTCCTTCGCCTCCTCCACTGCTATTTCCACCTCCTCCACTATCACCGTCATTATCTCACCGTCCCTACTATCACTAGGGGTGGCAAACGGGCCGGGTCGGGTCGGGTC